CAATCAGAGCACACAGACTGCATCTGTTGTACCATTCCCAGAACCAGTTATCTGATCATGAGGTGCACACCTTGACCGCAACAAGCACTATACTTCTGGACAGCTCCAGATTTTCCACCTTGACCACTGCATGCAGTACAGAGTACATTCTTGCTAAGTTTTAGTTTGGTTGTTTTGCCATTATAAAGATCTTCTAAAGATAATTTGAGTGGATGCATCATGTCCTCTCCTCCTCTTCTGCCATTTCTACTTCTACTCTGATTACCCATGAAGCTGAATAATCCTTCACCAAAAATGTGAGAGAAAATATAATCCATGCCACCACCTCCACTGCTACCTTCCCGAAGACCTTGTTCTCCATAATTGTCATATAACTCAGGCTTCTCTGGATTTGATAATACTTCATAGGCAAAACTTATTTCTTTAAATTTGTCTCCAGCATTTGGATTCTTATCAGGATGGTATTCCTTGGCTAACTTTCTGTATGCCTTCTTCAGCTCGTTCTCACTGGCTCCGGGTGGGACACCAAAGATATCATACAGCTTCATGTCAGCGATGTTCCCCATGATGGCCTGTGGGGCAGCACTCCTGACCAGCTAACTCCTTCAAGGCCCACAGCAACTTTAGAATGGGATAAAAGCTCTTCCCAATAAGAAATTAGAACTGAGTAAGATGGTTATATTACAGAGCCTTGCCTGCTACATCTAGGGTGTCACGTGTGGGGACCACACAGACCACTTCAGTCACCATCCTTTGGTGTCTGAGCATTTTTCCCTGGCCACCATGATAGTAGATGATCTCATCTCTCTCTGGGAACAAGGGTGGTCTCTTCTCTAATGCCACAGTGTTCTGACAGATCTGGCAAGGACTGGGTGACTTTAGAGAGCACACCTTTGCTCAGTGCCCAGGCTGCTTGCACTTGAAGCACTCTGACTTGCTTTTGTCACTCTTTGGATAACCTCAGTTTCCTTAGCACTGCAAGCTTTACATCCACTAGGGCAAGCATAGCTTTAGCCTGTCTTCCTTTTTCTTACTCAGCTTTTTGTTTGTTTTTTCATTTTGTCACAATTGTTAAAGACCGAATAAGCTACATGGACCAATTCACTTATACCTGTTTCTGGGCCCTGTTGAAGTCTCTGGAGCTTTCTCCTAATATCTGGAAATTATTGCCTAATAAAATATTGTCCTAAGATAATCTGACCTTTTCTAGATGCCTGGTCTAAATTAGTATATATATGGAGCATCTCTTTAAGCCAGAGTTGGAAAACAGCTGGATTTTTATCAGAGCCTTGACTAATAGACCTAGGCTTACTCTACTGCTGTGCAGGAAGAAACCAGAATAAATTGGACATCTTGCCAGGTAAGGTCAAAAGCCATCATTAAGGTATGAAAACCATTAGCAAACTTTCTAAAATCTTTGGAAAATCTACAGAGGTTGTTTTGTTTTGCTTTTATATTGTTGACTATCCAAATGGATTTTGTGGGTAAGAGGAGTTGTGGGAAACCTAACAGGTCTATCCCTGGGTTAATCACTGACCTGTTCAAAGGGATGTTACAGGGCCTTCCATGGTAGTTCCTGAGCCTTTTAGCCTCAGGGATATGGCCTCGTAGGGCTGAATTCCCTGTCCAAGTCAAAACATACCCTGTGTGTTAGTTACTTTTTTCTCATTGCTGAGACAAAATACCTGATGCCCAAAATTAAGGAAAGAAAGGTTTATTTAGCTCACAGTTTGTGGAGGTTTCAGTCCATAATCAGCTGGCTCCAAAGCAGGATGGCATGGCAGAGGAGCAACAGTTCATAGCAGCAGAAGACAGCAAAAGCAACAAGAGCAAAAAACGATAGAAGCAAGCCTCTTTCCCTCTGTTATCTTTTATGCAGGCTACCTACTCTAGGGCAGATGTAGCACTCACACCATCTCCATGCCCTCCTCTAGCGGAGGCTCAGAATGTTTACAAAGTGAGGATCCTGACTCCCTGCTGAATTGAGGTGGAAATGTTATAACACTGTGTCCTGAGGTGAGGGCGTGAAAACAAGAAATCCAGGTTTAAAAAGCTGCATCTCTGTAGGCCATGAGGCACCACATGCCGATGAGGACCATTAGCAAAATACGGCCCTACCTTTTTTGGCAGGAGCCCATTTGGCTCCTATGAAGGCTGAAGACTTTCACGACACTGTCTGATCATCTTCAAACAGTGATCAAATCAGCTGTTCACCCCAGGAATCTTTCCCATGCACTCAACGAAAGGGAAGAGAGAAAAAGGTCTCCCCAAGCAAGGAGTTACCTTCCTTTTTATCTGGGCTTCTTGGCTACTGATATCTAGTGTTGTCTGTTATCTCTTGGCCGGCTCGCCAAATGATACCATGGGATGGATCCAGGGGATAGATTCCAGGTTCTCCTGTACAATGAGCAAAGAACTACAAAGTGTACCTCCAATGGCAAATGAAAAGCAACTATACTAATTGAAGATTATGAGAAGATGTGTCAGGGAAGGTCTGATTTGAGAAAAAATATGGCATAAATAGAAAAGTGGGGATATAGCTGGGGACTGGGGATATAGCTCAGTGGCCTAAGCACCTGCTTGGCAAGCTCAAGGTCATAAGTTCAATCCCCGGTACCAGAAAAAAAAAAAATTTAAAAAATTTAGAAAAGTGGTAAAAGGAAAGTAAGAGGTAAAAGGAAAGTAAAAAGTATTGAACACAGATAAATCAGGCTTTTTTTAATTTTAAAGGTGTGCACCCCAGTCTGGGTGCCTTTTCTTGGGTCTCTAGGTAAGATTTATAAGAATAATGGAGAAGATGCTGAGTCATCTCAAGGGCTTCCTAGTCCTCAGGACTTTCCCAGAGTTCATTCTCATTAAATTATAAGATGCAGTCCATGTTTATGAGCCTTTAATAAGTTTAGAGTGGAAAAGGTTACTGAAGTCCAGGCCAGGAGCCCTAACATGCAGATATTCTTGCCTAGAACTTCAGAGATTTCCTGGATCTTTATTCTTTTATGTTCTACTTCTCTTAGGACAATGGAAGAAGGCTTGGCCCTGGGGTTGCTCAAACTCAAGTGGACGGAAGAGGTAATTTTCCCACTGTGCTACCTGTACCAGCCCCACCCAATATGAGGACTTCTGTGACACTTCTGAAGCGCAGATGATCCCATGCTCCAGGACAGGCAACTCCATGGTTCCACCCTGACGCCTGGCAAAGCCGCTAGTCCCTTGGCTGCAGAAGCAGTCCATGTCCCCCAGGGAGCTAACAAGCTCTCAGCCACAGCACTCAAAGTGCCTGATGGTCCCCCCACAATGTAAAAAGCACCCCAGGTTCCACATGACCCAGATGTCCCACCTCACATTCATGAATGAAAAATTCATTTAAAAACTCTCTGAGTTATGACCATCACAGTCCTAGGGCTGTTTTATATCATATTTTTTAAACTATTTTTTCAGTTTCATTACCCATTCAAATTTCTGAGAAGACATATTGTCTTGGTTACTTTTCTCATTACTGAGACAAAATACACAACATCCAAAGTTAAAGGAGGAAATGTTTATTGTAACTCACAAGTTGCAGAGGTTTCAGTCCATAGTTGGCTGGCTCCAAAGCAGGGTGGAGTGGCAGAGGAACATCAAGGAGGAAAAACAGTCCATGGCAAAGCAGGGCAGGAGGAAGGCAGCAAGCAGCAAGCAACAACAGCTGCAGCAGCCACAGAAGCTGCCCGCCTCTCCCTTTTATCCCTTCCAGGAGTGGGCCTTCCTTAACCCCAGTATCACACTTAATCCTAGTATCACACACCGTAGCTCTGGCTACCTCCTAAAAGCTCCACCTATGACCACAAGAAAGTTTGGGGGCACACGTAGATACAACCCGTAACACACGTGTTTTGTTTTGTTTGGAACATGGTCAAGCTTATCATTTCAGAAAATCATGTTCCTGGTATAACATTAGTTGTGAGATTAAATGGTCAATAGAGAGGGAGTGCCAGCACACAGAGACACTCCTTTAGTGGCATCAACACCAGCCCCTACACCCAGCGTGACTGACTCCATATTTAACTTTGCCTACCCTCATCTTTCTTATCTTGGATGTCCTCCACTCACGCAGCCTGACGATTGTGTAATATGTCAGGAACTGCACATGGGTAAACTAACCATTGCCTGTGCTAAGGTGCCCACCAGTCTGTGATCACTAATGCTCTGTGTAAACCACTCCTAAGAGTTTCCTGGCAAGATAGGCCTTTAGCATGATAGTGCTTGAGCCATCATCTGATCAGCTAGCTCATAGCTTAATAAAGTTATTTCCCATAGCCTTGCCTCTTGACAGATAGGCTTCATCACGTGGTGAGCACACCAATCCCCAGCACTGTCATGGCATCACATCAACCAGGGAGTTAGACCAGAGCATCGCCATATTAAAGTACAGTATTGTCTATTAATTTTCTTTTATTTTGCCTTTGTATTATAGAGCACTGTTATCTTTCTCATTTGCAGGTAAGGGCCATATAAAAATATGTATTATAACAAAGAATCTGGTAGGTGTGAGAAGATGGATCTTAAAGGGTCTCCATCGGCCTTGACATTGGATACTTGAGGTTCTCAACATTTGCCTTGAGCTAGGCCCTGTACCGTAAGTAGTGATCTATCCATCTGTCTTCCCTAAGAGTGGGACTTGAACATCTTTGTCCCACCCCACATCCCACTTGGTGCCCAGCACTGGTCGAAGGCTGAGAAGCAGCAACGAAGTCCACTATTGCTTTCTCTCTCACCATGTTCAGCATGCAGAGCTACTCAGGAGAAACCCTCTCTCCCCATCCCAGAAGGAGCCGAGTAGAAAGCAGAAGCCTGCAATGCAGCCTTATCCTGTTGGGGGCTGTAGGAGGAGCTGGGGAATGCAGGAAGCCTCCCTCTCAGGTCTTTGGTTTTCGGGAATCTCCACCACCTCGGAGAAGGATGTTAATCAGTAACAGTCCAACGGGGAATCATACTTTGGAACTGCAAATATTTGCAGAAGGCTTTGGGCTGCAGAGGAAAGCTTTCATCTTTTCTCTGAATGACCTTCTCAGGCGCCTGAGGCCCCTTGAAGGTAAGAGGTGGAAGATGACAGGGAGCCCTTGGGGTGTCTAAAGGGGGAGACTGGGGAGAGGACATGTTCCTGTTGTCTCTAGGGAGCTGTGAGAGGAGGGGTGGGAGGGTGGACGGCGCAGAGTCCTCAGCCCTAGATGTGATGGAAACTGTGAACCCCAGAGGGGGCTGGGAGGGGGTGAGAGGCGTGCCAGATACAAGGGCTCCTCAGCAGAAAGCGGGCCAGGCAAAAGGGCTTAGAAGCCATGGTGTCTCATCTGCCACAACTCACTGCCCCAGAAGGCAGCCCACCCCTCCCTGGGCTTAGAGACAAAACACTAGGTTCAGGAGCACCATGGTTTCTTCTGGCTCAGGTCTATATGGGGAAGCATAATCTCCCAGCTTGCTGGTACCCTAGGCCAAGGAGCAGCCCTGCCTGTGGATTCTGCTCTGCTCCATACAGGAACAAAGCCAGAGGCACAGGCTGCACTGCTCAGGTTGGACAGGGACTGAATGGGGAACTTCAGGAACAGCGACATGAGACTTAGCATCTGGAAGCGGGGACATCCAGCTATTGTGCCAGTATAATTTCCTGAGGACAGAGAGAAGTACTTCATAATTCAGGATTATTCTGCCAAGGGCTTAATTTACAAAGTAGAGGTAAATATTATAATTGCATTAACTCAGGCTACCTTAACAAAATCCCACAGACTGGGGTCGGGGGGAGCTGGAACAACTGATGCATTTCTCAAGGTCCTAGAGGCCAGGAGTCTGGGGCCAGCAGGGTTGGGCTATGGTGAATGCCGGCACTCTAGTTTGCAGATGGCTGCTGTCTTCCTAAGTCCTTTGTGGAAAGAGAGAGAGGGCTCGTTTCAACCTCATCTACACCTATTTACTTCTTGAAGGCCTCACCTCTTATCACCATCACTTTGAGGGACAGGGCTTTGTTATGGCTCAGAACTGGGTTTTCCCCAAGAGCCTCATGCACTCACAGGCGGAGCTTTGTAGAGAAGGGGAAAACTAGTGGGAAGATGTGGTCAC